AAATATTAATAATAATAAAGTAATTAAAGCTAATATTATTTCTTAGATTAAACTTGAATTATTCCGGTAATTATCCGAATTTCTGGTATTACTTATAGTACTTTATAAAGTACTTAAAGGCTTTTATATTAATATTATAGCCTGCTTATTCTAGTATATTTCGGAGTTTACTAATAAATAAATAACTAAAACTATAATATAGATATTATAATTCGATCTCTATAAGAAAGCAGGAGTTATAAATAAAGAATTTAGAAATAAAGCCTTATAATATAGTATTTTAAAGCAAGAAAAAGTATTTGAAATATTATATTATAGATATATAATTTCTAGTAAAAGTAGTAAAATAGATTCCTAGCTTATCTATATTAGTTAAGCTAAATAAAAATAAAGTTTTTAAAAGTATAATATAAAATTATATTTGCCTAATTAGTATATTTATTATTATAGATCTAATAGAAAATATGAGTTTAATATTAAACTAGATATTAATTTAATCTTTAGTAATTTCATTATATTTAATACTATTATTAGTTTACTATAAAGCTTGGAATTAGTTAAAACTAGTAATTAAATATCTAAAGACTCTAGTATTAATTACAAAAGTTTAGGTGTTTTTTATTAAAAGTTTAATAAGCTTTAAGATATAGTTTTTACCTATTATCTAATATATAAGAAAAAAGAAAATAAGGTTATTTATAGAAATATTAATTATAATTATTAGTAGAATAGAAATAATAAAAATAGCTAAAAACCTTTTAATTAAAATTAAATAAATATTTGAATAATATTTTTCTTTTTTATTTGTTTTTACTAATAAAGCCTTAAAAGTATTATTTACTAGTTTGTTTTTATTATTTTTATTATTTTCTTTATTTTCAATTTTAATAATATATTATATATAAGTATTATTAAAGTATTTATTAAAATTATAAGTATTTTAGAATCTAAACTAATAAATATTTCTATTCCTAAATCGAGTCTTTTTAGTTTCTTCTTTCTTTAATATATATTTCTATAAATACTATTTGAGTTTCTTATATATAAAATATAACTTTAAAATATAATTATTATAATTATAGGCCTTAAAATAATTATTACAGATTCCGAAATTATAGCTAGATTTATATTAATAATTTTCGAAGAAATAATAGCTTAAAGAATTCTAAAAATAGTATTATTAATTAATAAAAAAGATTTCGGAATTAGTTTATTATTTGTTTTATATATAATAATAAATAACTAGAACTTATTAATAAGCTAGCCGAGATTTATAAGAGAATCTGAGATCATATATTTATATATTCGGGAACCTTAATAAAAAATAATAATCTTATTATAAAGAAATTAAATATTTTATAAATTAAATATAAAACTATATTATAATTAATATAATTTATTAATTAATAATTAAATAGTTTCAAATATTATCTTTTCTATAAATTTAACTATTATAAAAGCTAATATAATAATATTTCATTAATTTAAATTTTAATATTTGAATTTAAAGTCTTTAAAGAAACTATAAATATTAATATAAGCCTTTTTATATATATATTAAAAAGATAATTATTATAAAAGTAGTTTTAAGCTAGTTTCTTTAATTTAATAAAAAAACCTCGTATTAGTATTTTTTATAAAATCTTTATATATTAGTAAATATTAAGAAAAATAGTAAATTTATAATTAAAATTATTATTAAATCTATTATATTTTTATTTTTTAATATAAATCTTAATAAGTTTTCTAATAAGTCTTATAATTAAAAATAAAGAAAATAATTAGAAAGTATTTAGATATAGTTATAATAATAGTAGTAAAACTAGTAAAAGTATACTATTTATTTCTAGAATTTTTATACTAGTATATAAATCTAGTAAAAATATAAAATATAATAATAAAAAAGAAAATATTAAAAATAATAGGTTTTAAATACTTATTTTTTATAAAAGTAATAAAGTCTAATAAGATTAGTTCTTTTATAATATCTAGTTTAGCTATTAATAAATTCTCGTTTATTTAAATATATTATATATTTTTCTTAATAATAGAAAATAGAATAATTATAGTAATAAGAATACTAGTATTTTATTTTATATATATACTATTATATTAAAGGATCTTATATAAATATAGTATTTCTAGAAATTTAAATTTATTAAAGTTCCTTTAATAAATAAAGTTCTTAAAGTTATATCTAAATAATTCCCAAAAATTATTATTAATTATTTTATAGAAAATATATTAAAATAGCTTAGTATTTAAGAACTCAGATATTTCTTATACTATAATAATATCTAAACTAATTCTATATTTCTATTTTATTACTATTTCCTTAAAATTATTATTTCTTATAAATATTAAATAATTAGATTAGATAAATCTAATAAAGAAATTATTTACTATAGTAAGTTCTATTATTATATATTTTATAGGCTTATATCTAGTTCGAGATATAGTAATTCGTAAAAAGAATAGATTTATAAAAAGAAAAATAGTTTATAAGATAAGTAATTTATAAAAGTTATTATTATATCCGAAATAAAAATTTCGTCTATAATAAGAAATTTAGAAAGTGAAATTTAAGAAATAAAATATCGAGATTTCAAAAGAACTTAATAGTTCTAAAGCTTAAAAGCCCCAGATATTTAAGTAATTATAAGGAGAATAATTTTTTATAAAGAAAATAGTTTTATAAAATAGTTAAATAATTAAATAGCTAACTATTTAGTAATTAGTAAAAAGTAGTATCTTTTCTTTTTATAGAACCGAATTATAAATAAAGGCAACTATTATTTCCTTTTTTAATATAGTTTAATTAAGCCTTAATAAAATTAAGTACCTTTCTCTTTTTATAGAACGGAATTATAAATAAAGATAATTAATAGTTATTTTTTTTAATATAGAATAATAACTTTATTTCTAAGAAATTAAATCTTAAATAAATATAGTTTAATTCTTTTCTTTATCTAATTTATATATATAAATAGATCTTATTTTAATCTAAATATAAACTAATTAGTATTAGTTTATTAGAAATATATAATATTATTATATAGTTATAAAATACTATTTATATAAATTAGTAAAGTAGTTATTATTTAGAAATAAAAATTATAGTATTATAATATTAATATATAATTCCTAAATCTGCTAAGTCTAATGAGATCTAGTTTACTAATTAAGTTATTTATGGGATATAAGGTTATATAACTATATCTTATATCTCATATCCCGTTACTTATATTCCATTACTTATATCTTATATCCCGAATCCCGTAACTATATATATAACTCCCAAAGAAATAGCTATACTAATAATATTTAATATATAGTACTTATATTAGCTTACTTTTAAATAATTATATTTCTTTATTTTCCAGGAAATCAGGGCTTGATTTTAGCTTCTTTTCTTAATAAATTCTCTTTATATTAAGAACTACTAGTTTTCTTTATATTAAAGGCCTAGTCTATAATAAATATAAATACTATTATATCAAAATTGAGCTTAAAAACTTTATAATAATATATTATTAATTTAAATACATATTATAATATTAAAGTTCTTAAAATTATTAGCCTTTAATATTTATTATTTATTAGTTTTAAGAAAGAAGCTAGTTTATATTAAAATTAGAAATATTACTAATACTAAAAGTAATAAAAGAAATAAGCCTTTAAAGATATTAGTTATTATATAATAGGTAGAATTAAGGATTAGAGGCTTATTATTAGTTTGGGTTTATAGAATTAGAAACAAGAGGTAAAGTAAAAGGGCCTTATTAGAAGTAAAAGGCTAGGCAAGGGATTATTACTAGGGGCTAGATTATTTAATATATTATTATTATATGATATAATTATAAGAGGTAAAAAGTAATAAGAGGCTCTTGTATAAGTAGTGGTATTAATAAAGGAAGGAGAAGGAAGTTGAGGCAAGACAGGTGGGGTAAACCTACCCCTGTTATTTTTGCTCTACCTGTAACGGCGCTGGCTAGGGGTGGCTGTCACATGACTGGTTTCACCTAGCTAGCCAGCGTTTCAGTGGTTTTAGCTAGTACTTCCCTTCTTTTATCCCCTTTCCTTCTCTCTCTCTCCTTCTTCTCTTTAGCTTAGTATTTTCAATACATGAGATTCTTGGATCTTTGAGCCTAGGCCATTGCCTCGATCCCGCCGTCACACTACCCCTGCAATTTTGGAACGATTGGAACGTTCCAGGGTGGAACATCGCCAAGCCTGATGCGAAGGACTAAGGCACGAGAGTTGCCAAGAACCTTCAACCCATAATCGTGGCAGATTTGTTCCGGGAACAAGCATCTCCCTGGGAAGCGCTTACCCGGGGGCCACATCGAAAAGGTTTGGAAGGCTGCTAAGGATTTCCTCAGTCTCACAACCACCTACGTCGCTAATACTGCAACCTCCAAAGCCCTCTTCCAAAGGATCTTCGAGCCTGCTTTGAACTAGCTATTAGGAACCCTGGACGCAAAGAGCACCGAGCTGCTAACGCCGCATCGGAAAGGTAATCCCATTACATAACCATTATTTCACTAAAGCTCTCTAGCAGGTCCGGAACGAACGAAGCAAGGATAAGTACACAAGGATCCTCAAGGTCTTCTTCAGCGCCCCCTCCCTTGATTCCGTGTATCTCAACGGGCACAAGGATCTCCGCCCGCTCGTGGCAGCTCTCGGGCAACACACGGAACCCGACATAAACCGCTTTGCATGTTCCGAAGCTTTGGATTGCATGGAGGCTTACTACAAGGTCGCCCCCTTCCCTGCTTTAGATCTTCTCCTACCTCTATAGACCCCCTAGTTAACTTGGTTGCCCGCTCGAACGGGTCGCAATGGTGATGTATCTATCTCGCGGAACCATGAATGCCGCCAATCTTTACATTTCTTTCGCGCAGGTTTCGACCTTTAATACAATCTGAGACCTGCCTAGCCGAGAATCCCCTGGTCTTCCCTTTGTATTCTGTCTGTTTAGCGTCACAGTTCTGAGCTCTTTATCCTCCAACTGATTCAAGCTCGAAATAGAGCCAGTTGTAGTAAGCAGGACCTTCAAATGCTTCCCATTCCCATTGCGAAGAACTTCTCTAGTAACGCGGTCCAGCAAAAGTCGTAGTAGACTGCTTACGTATTTTTCATTGCCATCCATGTTCTCTAGACGCTCAATTCCATCGATTATAACGTATAAACTTGGAGGCGCATAGTCCAAAAGGCTCGAAAATATTGACAGAGCTTCGTCCCATGTCTTCAGGGTGCCGTCGAGCTCTTGAATTCTAACATAATCGAAATCCAGATATTCTCCCTCTACAACATCAAGGTGCTCGGCCAAATGCTTGATCAACCGGTATATTGTACTGATCATCCAATTCTCTCCGGATTTAGAAGCCCATCCACAGAAGAGGTATACTGTGGGTAGATTAAGGTCAGACAAAACTTTTGCTACACTACAAGCTACCTTGGAGGTGATTGATGTATTCTTTGTTTCGGGGGGGCCTTCGATGTGCAATATTTGAGATGCAGGGGATGAATTCCAGTCTCGAATCGCAAACACCACTTTGTTATCGAAGTAAGCCGAGTCGTAATTGACAGTCTCTGCAGATGCGATACAATCTGGTGCGTGAACTTCTAGCTTTCGAAAAGCTTGTTGTAGGTCAGGCTTGGAATAGCATGAGCTAGACGAGACACTTTCACCTCCCGAAGGTCTTTTGTTAGACGCAAGAGGATTTGGTAAACTCTGAGTATCACTCTTGATATTCTGGATATACATGTTGGAACTTCCTAGCTGCTGTTAGCAAAGAATATGAAGTCCTGATAGGTAAAATGGCAGACTTACCATTGATTTCAGTGTAGCATTGCATGCTTGTACTCAAACATTGTATATCGAAAGCATCGTGAGTGACTTGAGACATATGCAGCTCACTAAATTTCCTTCTGTCCTCTTCATTCTTTTGGATTAGATGGTCAAGCTTCCTATCGATAACATTTGTCGTATATATAATGTCGGTGGTCTTTGCGTGGTGCGCAATGATTCCCCTCATGTGAATCTGATCGGCTCTCTGTTTCATTTTGTCTAGGATATCAGAGAATTTGTCGTAGAGATTCTGATCAAAGCTTTTTACAAGCCTACTAAATCTTTTTGCTCTATACCATAACATTGCTTCTCGTAAAAATTGGAAGACAGTGGCGTAAAGTTGACCGACAGCGTCTCGCATCTCGATAGTGTTGACGAGTTTAGCATGCTCGATGGACAGCATAATGCAGTCTCCAATTTCAGATAGAGCTTTGCTGAGACCTTCCATAGTTTTGCGATACGTATATGAAGCCTGATATAGGATTAGTCGGTTATTCGATCCGTGCCAGATATAATCACCTGTAGCAGGGTCTTCACTGCGCCACAAAATATGCTCAAGTACTGATTCTGATTTGGAAGGAATTCGAGTATCATTGAATGAGAATTGAGACTGTTGCAAAACTTATCGAAATAATAGCGAGTCTTTCCATGGCTCTTGTCTAGTATTTCTGCCGTTGAGCGAACGGAGTTCCTCAAGTCATCAATGGTTATATTATCCCACCATTCTAGCGGGTTTGCCTTTTTAGTGAACGTTGTACTTTGCTTGTCCTGAGATTCATCTGTGAAAGCTATCCAGGCCTCCTTCAACGAATCGCACTCAAAAGCTATCGTCATTCGCAGTGGGGAGCTATCGTTTTAGCTTGTCAGCTGTTGCTCTTGCGTTATAAATATAGCAAAGGCGAATCACCTTTCTTCACAATTTGGATCCTCGTAGTACGACCTCCAGGAGTTGCCCCCTGCTTGTTGCTCTAGTTGGTTTAGATTTTGCGACAAGACCTGGGCGTTTAACCCACGATGTAGAGCAATTTCATTTAGATTAGAATGCGAAGCAGAGGATTCTGCGTTGGCAGATTCTGGATTAGCGAAATTCATAGCCGGTCGTTTGTGACTGATCTGATAAATTGCTCCCTCGTTTTCGCATCGATTGTGAACTCAAATGGGACAATTTCCGGGGCGAGTAATTGTGGAAATTCTCGTTCAGCACAAACGTGGTGATTGATTTGGTTTTACATGCAGCGTTCGTTGTGCGCAAATTGGCGAGCAAGTGGGCAGTGCTGGGAGCGCTGCCACGCTGGGAGCAATGCCACGCTGGGAGCACTGCCACGCTGGGCGAAAAATGGCTGCATGAGTGTCTAATAAAACGCCAAATGATTCGTCCTTCTTCTGCGTATTATGCAAACAGCACACGGTAAGGCATGCATGCTCTAAGCTTCTTTCCATCCCAAAATGTACGTTCTCGAATCATGTCTTGTCACGTAAAAGCATTCCTCCTCAGGGATAACACAAGGCGGACTCGCAATGCCCGATCTTCACAAGGCGCGGCATTGTATGCTAGTACTTGCCGTATCTGCCTTGGGGTCAGTGCCACACGAGAATTTAGGCATTCTGATCCCTATCACTGCATGGTATTGATATAAATAGGCTATCTGCATCTTGGTGTTATTAAGACGATTTATTGTGGTCCCTGCCTGAAAACTTCATTTTCTATCTTCAATTACACCATCCATCACAAGTTCGTGGGGCTTCGCCATTTTGTACCTTCCGCTTATTGTTTTATAAGCTGTCTGGCTCCCTATATAATGGCATTTCAACAACATGAAGAAAGATTGCACGAACAGGTCGATAGAGAATTTCAAGTATGATCCCACGTCTTTCTTAATTTACGATGAATGCGATGACTGAAAGAATCAGGCGCCCACTTCATTGGCAAAACAGCCGGAGCTCCTTGATCCACACCTTACCGTAAATCCACAGACTCCTGATGATTTCGAGTCCCTCACCAGAGCAGCCTCCTCGGATATCAAGACACCACCACCGAAAATACTCTACCATCGTATTAGTAAAGACCACGAAGGCACAGTTATTGAAAACATTGAGAGCGCCCACCCATTCCCTCGTCGAGATGAGACTGGCGTCGCAAAAACCCTCACTGATGAAACCGTACTGGAAGTTCTGACCACGAAGACCAGTTCTAACCATTTTGGGATGTACCGTCCACCAATGACAAGGAACGAGTTGAAAATCTACTCTGCGCCTCTCATTAATGCATTACAACACGTTGTTCAGTATTGGCCTGGTTTAAGCTTACTTGCCTATCCCGTGACACTGACAGAGCCGTATGCGGTACTGGTACATCATATGGATGCACTCAAAAATCACAAGAACAACCATCCTGCCTCTCATTCTTCTGAATTCAGGGAGGTCTGCAACGATCATATTGATGTTTTACTAGATTTCCTAGACAAGACATATGGAGATGTTCTGCGACTAGAACAGGCGCGCTATCGAAAGTCTCCGCCATCAGCAACTTTTGAGAACCTCTGGATGTTGTTCAAACCAGGTCAGGACGTATACATCAAAGCCAGGGAAAATAAGCCAGCTATTCCGATGAGAATTGGGAGCTTTCAAGGTTCTCGTCGTGGCCCATTTGTGGAGCTCGAAGGCTGGGGTGTCAGTTGCAACGGCATCCAAATTACAACGCAGAGTCGGTCTTGTCTTGTCAACACCTTCGATGGCGAGAAAGAGATCTTCTCTCTTGAAGCCTACCCAAAGGAGTTTCATGATAAACCCGACTATGAACAAGAGTTACAAAAGAGGGGGCAGCGGTATTGGGAATTTTGTGGCCCTGCGTACAGACAGTACGTCGGCACCACGATCGCAGATTGCAATCATCCACGAGTAGAGGTTTGTACCGAAATTCTAGGGTTTAGACCTTTGTACTTTAAATTCCATAGCTAACAGTCCATTAAGCTCAATGGCCGTATTGTCATCGATTTCAATGCTTATAATCAACACCAACTAGAGGATACCAAAGTTGAGGACAAATTCAGCGAATACGACAGGCATGATTTTCACTCTTGGAGGCAATTACCATCATCTAGGGGGTGCGAATGCCAGATGTGCGGATCATTGACCACTAGAACAGAGAGATCAGATCCGATTTTTGCTCCTATACTTGCGAGCATGGCGAAAACAGAAGGCAACCCTCAACTATACTTTCTTAGCGATTATGTGATTTGCGGTTACGCCCTCAAAGAGAGAAAGTGGTGTAAGTAGTTAAATTTGGTGGCCGCCTTCCTTCCTCCCTTCCTTCTTGCAGAAATATACCACTAACAAGAGCCAAATTCTAGTATCATTCCATATCGATTACGTCGAGGACTTGAGAGTTGACGAATCGCCATTTGACAATCTAATTCTACGAGACAATATAAAGAGCACAATACAATCCATTGTTTGGAGTTACAAGCAGCCTGGGAGTGAGGTTAAAGCGTGGTCTGCTGATTTCATTCAGGGGAAGGGCGAAGGACAAATATTCTTGTTACATGGAACCCCAGGAGTAGGGAAAACATGTACAGCAGGTAAGTGATTTGTGCCAATATTGGCGCTCGTTCTGGTGGTTGAACACATTAGCTGACATAATTATAGAAATCGTGGCTGATTATATGAAGCGCCCTTTACTGCCATTGACCTGTGGTGACATGGGTATTACAGCGTCAGACGTGCAGGAAAATATCACCAAGTATTTCGAGCTGGGGGAACGTTGGGGAGCTGTCATTCTAATGGATGAGGCCGATATCTACCTCGAGCAGCGCGCCCCAGACCAACTCGAAAGAAATAGTCTTGTCTCAGGTATTCTCCTATGCGATATTGTGTAGTATTAAACTGATTTGGAAAAAATTTCTAGTTTTTCTCAGAGCCTTGGAATACTTCCGAGGAATCTTGTTCATCACCACAAATCGTGTTGGAACATTCGACGATGCTTTCATCTCACGTATTCATGTAGCTCTCTACTATCCTCCACTGGTAGATCGTGATCGAGTTTTGATTTGGGAAAACAACTTCCGCAGACTCGAGAAGGATTCAAATATCAAGGTTCCCGACTCTACAAGGATTTATACCAGATACGATGAGGGATTGCGGCTTATCAAGTGGAATGGTCGCGAAATCCGAAATGGTAGGTATTTCCGAAAATTTAGTTACTAGTACTTCAAGACAAACTAACAATCTCACTAGCATTTCAGACCGCTGTAGCTCTTGCTAGAAAGGAGGCTAGCGACAAAAACATGGTCGAAATTGTTCTCGAGGCAAAGCATCTCGAAGCGGTGGTCAAGTTGTCCAGGTCGTTCAAGGCCTATATTAATGAAGTTCACCATCATATAGATGAGGGTGGTAGAGCCAGAAGAAGCGAGGCTCGAGCAGACAACTTTGCTCCCGAGGATTTGGTTCTAATGTCCTAAAAGAGATAAGCGTTTATAAAGTAGTCGTAGCGGCTTATGTGGTATATAGCTTAAAAGCCTTGCTATAATTTTCTGCTTTATTAATAGAGTGTGTATCTATAAACCGTCGCGGGCATGTAAATGCTGATTTAGATAAAGAAATGTTTGCGAAGTGGAAAGGTCTAATAGGATACAAGTACATAACTTCTTCTTGAACGCGATACATAGCACACCATTTGTCTAGTAGTCTCGACTTAGTCGTTCTTGAAGAGTTGTTTGTTTTGAAAGTATGACTTTGGTGTGTCGAGAACCCGGGCCCGAACAACTGGACAGCTCTTGTTCCCCATCGAGACGATCGGCTGCCTTGGCGGCAGCAATTTGAATGGCTGAACGCTCGGTATAAGTACCTGCACGCTCCAAGGTCGCTCGAGGTTCCCTAAGCTTATCGAGCCGACTGCGGCAGGCTTTGGATTTGATCTCGATTTCATCCACTAGGCTGGGTAGTTCGGCAGCGATCTGTCAGAGCAGGGCTTTGCTCAGCCTCTTCTAGAGCTTGTCGACGCCCAAGAGCGAGCGAGACAGATCCTCCCATATCCCCCGGGAGAAGAATTTCTCTTCCTAGGCATCGCGATCGGCCAATGAAAACACTCCCGATTTAGAGTCCATATTTTTAGAACGTGCCATCCAAGACGAAATTCCATGTCTTAGTTTCTCGCAAGAGAGACGTATATGGCCTCACTCTTAGAACCGGCAACCAAGATATCCGGCTTCGTAATAGCGCCTAAAGTTCGATTACACCTTTTATTAGCGGCGCGGGCGAGCTTCAATACAATCTGGTTCGCATAGTCGTTCTCGGCCGAGACGATCGCGAGAAGGATACTCCGGGGTTCCATTATATAGGCTTGAATAACGTCTTGTACCAGCTCGACATCGGAAGTAGACTGCTGCTTAGTTTCGGAGTGGATGAGTCCAGGCAGGTCCACAATGCTCAAGTGCGGCCGATCAGAACCCGAAACCTCAACGCGGAGGACCAATTCTATCGAAAATCGAGTGCACAGGTTGCTCTTAATCATAAACGATACGCCGGAAATTGCTTCTGGCACGGAGCTCTTCCCTAGTCCCTGTATATGATAATCTATGGCACCAAAACGTAGTAACCAGTCTATTAAAAAATAATCAAGGCTAATTAATTAGAATTAATTATAATTAAGTATAATTTAATTAGCTTGATTTCTATTATAATTAATTATAATTAACTATAATTATTACGTAATAATATAAAAGTATACTTTCTTAGGCATTTTTAAAGATTATTAAATAACTAGTAGCTATATTAATAAGATATAAATAAAATCTATAAAATATATATAAGAATATAAAATTAGTCTAAATCTAAAATAATAAACTAGTTTTTATTATATAGTACTAGTTATATAGTACTATTATATATAATTTAGTATATAGCTAGTATTTCCTTAGCCTAGTAAATAGCTTAATTCAAGCTCTTTATTACTATTATAATATTACTTTATTTTAGTAGTTTTCTTTTTTAGAAATCTCTTTTTATTTTTTATTTTTATTTTCTTATTTCTTTTTCTTTAATTATTATAAAAATTTATTTATAGCTCTTTTATTAGTAATAAGAAATTACTAGAAATTAAGAAAATTCTAATATCTTTAGCTTTATTTACTAATTAATACTAGGCCTGGTTTTATAAAAAGCGCTTTTAGTAATACTAAATATAGCTAGCCCAGACCTTATTTTAATCTTATCTCGGCTTCCAAAACTCTAGAATTATATATATAATTATATAATAAATCTAATTAATTATCTTTAATTATCTTTAATTATCTTTAATTATCTTTAATTATCTTTAATTATCTTTAATTATCTTTAATTATCTTTAATTATTTTTAATTATAATTAAATATAATTTAATTAGTTTAATTTTAACTTGATTTAATTTAAATAAAGAGGTCTAATTAAATCTAATCTAATTATTTAATATACTAGTAATAATTAATATTTTATAAATAGAAATAGTTATTATTATAGATATAATATTTAGGGTTTAGAAAATAAGATAAAAAGTTTTTTATAAAAATAATTCAAAGCTAAAAAAGAGAAAACTAGAATATAAGAGGCTATAATAAAATATATATATCCTATAATATATTAGTTCTAAAGGGGTTTAGCTTTCTAAATATCTCTAGTATATTTCAAATATATTTCTCTAATAAAATAGCTAGTTATATTATATATATCTAGAAAATATCTAATATCTAGCTAGATATTTTAGATACTAGATATCTAAATATCTAATAAATTATAATATTACTTCTTTTTTTAAAAATAAGCTCGTTTCTAAGCTTTATAAAAGCTATTAATTTATCTAATTTTATATTATTCTTCTTTTTAAAATAAACTAATATTTTGGATATAGATATTATATATAAAAGACAAGTATTTTTAATATATAACTTAGAAGAATTTATTATTATTTCTATATAGTTCTAGATAAGTATTATTTTTTATATAATCTAGCTAATATTATAGGTTTTATAAAAGTTCTAGTATATTAATATTATTATTATAGAAGCTTTATAAAATTAGAAAGCTATTACTTAATATTAAAGCTAGATATTATATTAGATTCTTATTTTAACTAATTTACTAAATTTTATATTTTAGCTTATTTCTTACTAGTTTAATTATAATAATTCTTTTAATACTATATTTTTATTTATTATTCTCTAGTACTAATAAAGGTAATTCCGGATTTATTTAATCTAATAAAAGATTCTAAAAGTTCTTTTATAGCTTCTTTATATAGAAAACTAAATATATTTTTATAGTTTCTAATAGCTTTAGAAAAAATAAATAGCTATATTATTCTAGAATTTTAAATAGGCTTTTTATTTAATTTCCTAGCTTCTAATTCAAATAATTAGATTTCTAGTATTTTATAATAATTTATATTTTATTTCTAATTATTAGTATAACTATTTCTTTGGGAATTATATATATAGTTACGGGATACGGGATACGAGATATAGGTAATAGGATATAAGATATAGGATATAGTTATATAACCTTGCGTTTTATTAGTAATTTAACTAGTAAACTAGATCTCTTTAGGCTTAGTAAATTTAGGGATTATATATTAATATTATAATACTATAATTCCTATTTCTAAATAATAACTTTACTAATCTTATATAAATAGTATTTCACGACTTATATAATAGTACTATATATTACTAGTAAACTAATACTAATTAGTTAGTACTTATAGATTAGAGAATAGAATCTTTTAAGCTAAAGAAATATCCGGTAGCCTATAGTAAAATTAAACTAGTCTATATTAAGGAATGAAATTACCTATTAATTCTATAAAGTATCTAGTAGCCTAAAAAAGAAAATAGCTAGCTTTTACTAAGAACTAATAACTACTTTATTAAAGGGGGGAATTACTTATTAATTCTATAAAGTATCTGATAGCCTAAAAAAGAAGACTCTAGTTCTTACTAATTAATAAATAATTAGCCATTTAGCTATTTATTTATTTAACTATCTACTATTCTTTAAAACTAACTTCTTTTAGCTCTAAGACTATTTTCTTGGAATTTATCTTTTCCACTTATATAATACCTGTATTTATAGAATACTTTCTCTGAAATATATATCTTATATATATTCTTAAAGCTTTTTAATTACTACTTTAATTTTATTATTAAGTCGAGTTCTTTAAGCTTTAGATCTTCCCGGAATTATAATATTTCACTTCCTAAATTTCTTATTATAGATAAAATATTTAAGAATAAAATATTTACTTTAATACCCTTAATATTTCTAGGTATCTGGGGTATCTAGTATCTTAACTAGATATCTAGTATTTTAACCAGATATCTGGTATCTTAATCAGGTATCTAGTATCTTAACCAGGTATCTAGTATATTAATTAGGTATCTGAATCAGATATCTGGTATCTAAACTAGATATCTGGATACCTTTATTACCGAATCCTTTTTACGAACTTACTATAAACTACCTTACCTTTGAACCTCTCTTATTACGAATTACATATATATTAAGAAGGGCTTGGCTCTAGGGATTCCGTATAGCAGAACTATAAGATAAATATATATAGATAAAGAAATAGAAAGGTAATATTAACCTAATTACCTATAATAATAAGAAAGTTCTGAATTACCTTAATACTAGACTATTCTAGTATAAGATAGAGAAGTTGACTAATAATAATCTCTAGGAATTATTTAAGGAGAATTTTAGTAATTTTAACCTTAAAGTACTTAATTATCTAGATTAATATATACTATATAAATTACGAGCTACTTTATAATATAGTAGTATTTATATTAAATAAAATAATAAAGAACTTACTATTATATAGTTCTTAGTTAATACTATTTAGGAAAAAGAGTAATATACCTGAACTATAACTAATATTATTACTACTAGACTAGACCTTAATACGGGCCCTATTACTTTATTATATATATCCCTTAATAATAGTATTATAAGAAATTAATAAACTAAACTAATTATTACTTATATCTCTTTATTACCTATAACTATTCCTGCTAATACCGGACTATAGAAAGCTAGTAGTAACGGATTTCTATTACTTCTATTTCTACTACCTTTACTACTTCTAAATAGCCCTTTAGCTAGCCCTTTTACTATAAAGCTAATTAGAGAAATAATAAAGATATATATCGAGATATAGAAGTATAATAAAACTAATAGTAGTTTTAACTAAAAACTTGCTATTTTCCTTAATATCTACTAATATATAGAGCTCTCAGAAAAGGCATTAGTAAGAGCTTTTCCTACTATATTAAAGGAACTAATATAAGACTATTTCTATAATAACTAACTTTCTTAATATATATATAAAGAAGCTTATATAAATATTTATAGTTTCTTTAAAGGCCCCGGTTACTATTATTAAAATTTAGATAAATAAAATACTATTACCTTCGTAACTATAATAATAAAAGATTCTAAAAAGATAATATTCGAGCTTATTTAAATACTAATTAATAACCTATATAAATTATAATATAGCCTTATTCCTATCTTATAAACTACCGAATTCCTATATAATAAGATTATTACTTTCTATTAAGGCTTACTAGTATACTAATATATAGTTTCGGACTTTCCTAATAATCTCGGCTAGCTTATTAATAAGCTCTAATTATCTATTACTACTTATAAGAAGAAATAATAAATTAATACCCAGATTTCTTTTACTAATTAATAATACTATTTTCAAAATCCTCTAAACTATTTTTTATTTAGAAATTATTAATATAGACCTAGCTATAACTTTAAAACCTGTAATAATTATTTTAAGCCCCGTAATTATAATAATTATATTCTAAAGTTATATTTTATATATAAGAAATTCGAATACTATTTATAGAAGTATATATTAGAGAAATAAGAAGCTAAGAAGGCTCGATTTAAGAATAGAAATATTTACTAATTTAGATCCCGAAATACCTATAACTTTAATAAATACTTTAGTAATACTATATATAGTATATTACCGAATTTAAAGAAAAAGAAAATAACGAGAATAATAAGAATAAACTAGTAAGTAATACTTTTAAAGCCTTACTAGCAGAAATAAATAAAGAAAAGAAATATTACTTTAATTTCTATTTTACTTTTATTAAGAGCTTTCTAGCTACTTTTATAGTCTCTACTTCTATTATTTCTATAACTAATACTCTTATAAATAACCTTATATTTCTTTCTCTTATATACTAGATAATAGATAAAAACTATATTTTAAAGTCTATTAAATAAATAGAAAATACCTAGATATTTATAATTAATAATATATTAAAATATAATACCTATTACTTTTATAAAGTTATAATTAATACCAGAGCCTTTAGATTCTTAATTACTAGTTCTAACTAATTCCAAGCTTTATAGTAGACTAATAATAGTATTAAACTTAATAAAACTACTAAAAGTTAAGTTAATATTTAGTTTAGTATTAGATCTATATTCTTTATTAGATTTATAATAATA